TGACCGGTAAATGAAAGACTAAAATTGTCTATGAGGGTGTTTGACAATAAGAGGTTTGTATATCAAACCGATATACTACTACCCCAATCTCCTAAAACTCGATCAAATTTGACCGGCACGAGAATTAATAAAGTAAAAAGAGAGAATTCCCTAAATAGAAGTAAAAACGTTTTGAAATTCCAAAATAGGACTATCATGTTTTTTATTACCTGGATAGGAGTAAATTTCTGCCAAGTTTGGCATTACTAGGCTTTAAAGTTTAAACATGACATTTTTTTACAAACTTGACAGATTATTCCTATTCAGGGAATAAAAAACATGATGGTCTTATTTTGGAATTTCAAAACATTTTTACTTCTATTTAGGGCACTTTCTTAAGTAAAAATTGTGTGTTTGATATTTGTGGTGAGGAGAGAGAATTAACTAGAACCACAATCTCTGTACTTAGAAAGGAAAGTGACAAAATTAGTAGGACAACCAAAAAGTAAAGTTGACAAAATTTTAAAAATGAAGGAAGTGCATTCTTATAGCCCGTTGAATACTTATTAGTCAATCATTCAACAATCGTGTAAGATGCTACTCCATCTGTTCCACTAAAATGTCTTATCTTTTCTTTTCGCTCTGTCACACAAAGATTGTCTCATACTAAATTTGATAAAATTTATATGATTCTAAATTATTTTTACTTTACTATTTCTTTATCAATTCAATATAAATCACATAAACCACCTTTTTTATATCATCAAATCCAACACTTATATTAAAACCATTAGGAAACGAATCATTACAACAAACTCAAAAAGACTACCAACCCTAACAAAGACTATCTCGAACCAACTATCACAATAAACCCTACGGCTAGACTCTGAGACGATCACCCCTGAAAGAGCGATGCGAATCGCTAACCACCAAGCGGGTTTGACACAACAATCACTGGCCATATTGTCACGCCCCGGACCACATCCGTGCCACGTAGACAACCGTCGTACAACCCAATAAGAACAACGTAGTTCATCCTTATTAAATCGTACAAGGCGTCCGATAGATTCTATTGCCAAACCGATTAGTAAACTCATACAATCAACATCAACATATAAATCAAACAAATGCGGAAATAAAATATGTTTGATATTTAGCCACACGTGGCAAACATGAGCATGCAGGCCCTTCAAGAGTTTAATAGAAAACATCGGTCAAATATCCATGAGCAATTTCATAATTTCAAATAAGAATGGAAGCACGAACCACGTCTTCCTTATTTGAGTTCACCCTAGGCAAAGGTGCAGGTAGCAGGACTCTAGCCTTAACCTGAAAAATGTGAGGGCCCCCGAAGGGGTCAGTACTCCATAGAAAGTACTAGTGACAAGCAGGCTATATGAGGAATAACTAATGTTTCAGACACAAGACCCAAAAATAGGATGATACATATATTTATAGGTGTAACCATTGTTACCCCATTCCCAAGATAATACATACTGTATATACTTGTAAAATACTTGACCCGTAGGTCGTTTCCTCACAAAAAGTCTTTTAGAGATAAGGTATACCCAACCTTTCCCCTTTCATCCTGAAAGCCTAGCTCACAAGCTACATTCTACTTTCATAATATCCTACCGAGTTTCGGGAGTGTTTACCGTCCCGGGGATGCTCAACCCCACCGAGTTTTAGGATTGTTTACCGTCCTGAGGATACTCAACCTCACCGAGTTCTTGGGATTGTTTACCGTCCCGAGGATACTCAACCTCACCGAGTTCTTGGGATTGTTTACCGTCCCGAGGATACTCAACCTCACCGAGTTTCTGGGATTGTTTACCGTCCCGAGGATACTCAACCTCACCGAGTTTTGGGATCGTTATCCGTCCCGAGGATACTCAACCTCAACCTTATTCCTTACCAACCCTAACTTGGATATGGCTAACCTTTCATTCCCTTAACTATGGACAATACCTAGTCCTATAGTCATGTAACAATCCTTAGTAACTAACGTGGACGGGTCCCACCTGATCGGTCCACGTTAACCTACTCAAAAACTACCCGTTTTGAGTATAACCCAATACTCGATCGAGTACCCACCTATACTCGGTCGAGTACAGGAGGCAGCAGCCCGTAAGGCTAATTTTCCATGCATACTCGATCGAGTACCTATCCATACTCGATCGAGTATAGGAGACAGCAGCCCTTAGGGCAAATTTTCAGCAAATACCCGGTCGGGTATTTGCCAATGCCTGGTCGGGTATTGTAGTTGACTTGGCGGTCAACGCCCGTTTGACCGCCCAAACGGAGTCCGATTAACGTGAAATTTTACATGCATGTACTACTTGAAGTCCTTGATCCAAAAATGTCAGTTTTGGTCCTTGGAACATCATACATATCAATTTATATTAATTTCACTAATCAAACCTACATTTCATGCTTTCCAACTATGTCATAGTTTCCATCATGACATAACACATGCTTTAATACCACTAATCAATTCATAAAACATATTCTTGATTAATTTAGGTAATCTCATGCCTCACGCAAAAGTTATAAAGCATATAGCCGTCTTCTCACCTTATTGAAGCTTATGAAGTTCTAGCCTTTCCGATTTAGCCCCGGTGAAACTCCGGTGAACTTCAACGAACTCCGGCGACAACTCCGGCGACCCTTTCAACTCCGTGAAAGTTCTCGAAATACCTTATACAAGTTAATAACAAGGTTTTATCATCATAAAACTCATATCAACACAAATAACCTTCAAGAGGTTATTTTCCGACGAACCCGTCAACTTTGTCCTCCAAGTTCATTTTGGATATGAACCAACCTTCCAGCCCCTCATTCTTCACATATAACATGTATAGTGACCCTAGGGGTCTGGAACATGATTATATAATCATATGGGAGGATTAAGGAAAAAGGAATGGGATAAACGAAGTCATTACCTTGTTAATCCTCAAGTTTTCCTCCTCTTTCCTCTTCTCCTTCTCCTTCTTCTTCTTCCTTAAGCTTGGTTCGAATGGAAATGGAGGAAATGAAGATTTGAAGAGCTTCTCTCTCAAAATTGATTGGGTGGGTCGAGCATGTGAACTAAGGGGGAGAAGACATGGCTCTATTTTGGCTTGTACCCCAATGATAGCAAAAATAGGGTCCTACCTTGCCCATTTGATGCTAAAACACTCAAGTCAACATTTCTCACCCCCTTCCATCTCATCCAGCCGACCTAACCTGCCTCTCAGCCCATAAAATCGTGGGGTGGCCCCCACCCATGTGGGAGGTCACCCCTTTAAGCCCCGAAGTGTACACTCGGTCCCGAAAGTTGTATTTTCCGGACTGTTTTAACTATATTTCATTTTATCGGGTCAAATGAAATATTTATCATTCTTCCAATTATTATTGGCTATTAGAATGAATATATATTCCCCAACTTTAATTTAATGGTTCCCATAATTTATTATGGCTTTTCATCTGATATTTCTTCTGTACCGATAAATGGGCTTTATATGCCCAAAAGGTTACTCACATAACTTCTATGGCCCAACCAGGCTATCCACCATTATACACATATTATCTTGACCCAAATGAATATAATATGTGGTCCCGATAATATCGGGCGGCCCCCACTTCCGGTGTGGGCCCCACGTGAATTTTACTATTCACGTAAAAGAAATGATAAAAAATTCACAATCACGTAAAATGCGTTTATTCATTTCTTGGGTTCAATACATAATTTGATAAAGTACAAATACTTGGGGGCGGTGTTATACATATAGATCCTTCTAATGACATACTCCCTCCGCCCCATTGGACTTTGCCAACTTTCCCTTTTTGATTGTCCCAAAAAATTTTGTCACTTACCTATTAAAGCAACTAATTTGTGGTCTTGCACATTTCTCTTTCCTCTGCACAAATTTCAACCACATAGTTTTTACTATTCTTATCATTTGACAAAGTCCAATGAGACGGAGGGAATTGACAATCATTATTGTAGACCTAAAACTAAAGTCTTCAACAAAAAACGAAACATCGTAAACAAACATAACACGAAAATAAGACCATAAAAAATAGAATAACTGACAAATACTCCAAACTTTTTTCTAACCGTTTTCTTGAAATATCATCTTCCAAATCTCGACATCTCGATCAATCCAAGGCGGCGGTTCAGGAGGGGGACGGACCGTCGATCTATATTCTCCTTTGTTCAGCCCTTCGTCGCTCCCCGTCTGTTCATCACTCGTGCAGAGAGCCAGAAACAAATCTGTCAACCATTGATCTGTGGCTAGATTGCCACTACCCCCGCCTCTTGCTGTTGTAGCGCAATCCGATTATTAGAACTCCAGCCAGTACACACCGTCAAACAATCTGCTCAGCCCTCCTGTATAACAAAGGTATCCTGTGAATGTGTGAACGACCCATGCCAGTAATACATCGCCTTACCCTGTTGCATCCCCTTGATGTACGTTAGATCTTAACTATCAAAAAAAGAATGGCCGAAAACAGCCCCGCTCCTTGGCGCAACCCGATAGCTGACGAACGACTCTGGCGGTAGCACCTGACGGCGAACCCTAGAAAGAAGCCTCTCTAACTCAAATTTATTTTATTCAAAGCATAGAATACACTTTCATTAGTTACAATGTTCTTTTTATATCTTTCTTTTATTTATTTTTTTCAAATATAGGTCTCATAAACCACCGTTTTTAGTAACTGATTACCCATCATATTCCAATATATTACTAATAAAAGGAGGGGGAAATGGAGTATGAGAGCATAAAGAAATGTCCGATGCTAATGGTTTTTTCCTCAAAAAATGAAAAAAAGAATAAAATGATGAGTGAAGTTTAATTCACTCCACGGTCAGATACCAGAAAGTTAGGTTGAATTTAAGGGTAGAATCGTCTAATTTGCATATTCTAATTTAGCCGTTCGGTACTTCGTAAAAGTTACTCCGTAAATGAATAAGCTTTTTTGTTGTGTATTCACCACCTGTAGATAGATACAGATATACATATTCAATTTCTTTGTCTGGAAGGTTAAAATACTTCCTTCATTATCATCTATCTCCTCTGCCATTAAGTTTTCCAATCCTTTTTGTAAAGTACCATCGAATTAGGGTTTTGCTTTCTCTTTCAGCCGCCTGATCTGTCGATGGAAGCAAGATTCGATTGGTTTAAATTTTGTACAAATTTTTGTATGTAGTTTGTGTTTGCGTGTTTGTAGAAAAACATTTAGGATTTGCCGTCGATGCGTGCCGCACCTATCATGCATTGCATTTTCGGAGGATTGTATGTGGGACATTTCAGGGATTGATCAGAGGTTATAGGGTTTACGGATCGAATTCACGATTGAGTTCGTGGGTGAATGCGTGGATCTGATATCAACTATCATCTCTCTTGTACGTTGCTTTTCTCTACAGTTCAGGTTGTGAACAATGATTTAGATGTATAGGCTTGGAAATGTGATTCGTTTTGCTTCTTTTGAGAGGTCAGTGAAGAACAGATCTTGAAATTGGCTCCCCAACGCCGGTTGCAGCGCCACATGGGTGGCCAGATGCAGCAGAGCAATACGGCTGCAACTGCTCTGTACGACCATCCTGGCAATGCCACCGGCCAAGCTGGCGATGCTGGAGATGCTGTTATGGCTCGTTGGCTTCAGTCTGCTGGGTTGCAGCATCTGGCATCTCCCTTAGCCTCCAATGGGGTCGATCACCGCTTACTACCTAACATCCTGATGCAGGTAATGATCTTTGTTTAATCTACTTTCACTTTTCATTTTGCAATGCATTGGTATTAGTTGAATCTGAACTTGACTTGGACTATCTCAGTTACTTGATATGATGCATCCCTTAATTTTTTATCCTTCCACTGAACTTGATTTACTGGGCAAACATAGAATGCTTTATATAAACGTTAATCACATTTCCTGCCTTCATGCATTTGTTCCCGACACAGTTTTGACTTTGTGCTACATTTCTGAAGAAAACACCTTATCTTTACTGCTTAATTCATATACAACATCCAAGCTTTAGTCTCAAAAGAGTGTGGGGTCAGCTTAAATGCTTAATTCATATATGCGATTATAATTAGTAGCTCTTGTTTGGTTAAACTTTTGGGTGCTGAGTGCATGTTCCTGGAATGGTGGGGTTTGGTTGTAGACTTGTAGCTTGCCAACTTTATGATGGTATTTATAATGCTTAAGTTGTGGACAATGTTTCAGGGGTATGGGTCGCAGTCTGTAGAAGAGAAACAAAGGCTTTTGAGATTAATGAGGAACCTCAATTTTAATGGTGAATCTAGTTCAGAATCACATACCCCAACTGCCCAAAACTCAGGAGGTACTGGCATTCCAGATGGCCTTTATTCGCCAGAACTAAGAGGAGACTTTGGTGCTGGGCTTTTGGATTTGCATGCTATGGATGATACAGACCTTCTATCCGACGTATAAAACTTATTGACTTAATTTAGATTTTCATTGACTGGCTATGAAACTCCTCTTGTACTATAATTAGAACACTATTGGGATAGGATTATAGGAATCTCTACGAGTATTGCCATGTACTTAATGATAAGATAAAAATGGGCATACTAACAGGATAGGTTTTTGTCTCATATTTAAGACTAAGACCGCGTTGTGTTGGACTTTTTGTAGTCCCATATCGAACTTAAGCAGACCATATCAGACTTGCAACCATTAGTGTTGGTAACTAAAATCAGACCACACTTAAACAATTTAGACCAAATTATGACAGATTTATACAGATCAGATGGGGATTTAGAGCTCATTCAGGATTTCTTTTGCGTTGGAAAAGCTCCCTCTTTTCCTAAACCAATTCCAATTAAATTTTATTTATAGTGTAAAACTGACTTGGAACACTAAAAGCCATTGTAACGCAAAACTCAACCCAATATGGCTTTTGTGTGGGTTGAATTGAGTTTGAGATTAAAATATGTCCTTTTTGGCAATTTAATCTTTACAGAACATTTTCCTACCTGAATGGCTGAATCATGAACACGTATACCTCTCAAAAGTACTTCCACTTCTCAATTTTTCAAAGCACTTCCACTTCTCAATTCACATAGTACTTCTCGGAATTGCTTTTCAAAAAAGGAGCTTTTTCCAATCGCAGCAGCCAGGCCATGCAATTTTCATCATGGGTCATCCAGAAACAGTCTCTGGGGTAAGGCTCCATACATCCGACCCCCCCATCCCACCATAAGTGAGAACCTATGTGGTACTGGGGTAATGTTGTTGGTGTTGTAGCCTCAAGTCTAAAGTACGCTTAAGACTATCGGTGGCCCTCTCCCTCCATCCCACCCCCTCTCTGACATTTTCGTTGGCTAATAGCTAGTTGCTTTCATTTCCTATACAGAATGTTAATTCTGAGCTGTTTGAGCCATCACCTTTCATGCCTGCTGTAAACAAAGTATTATATGGTGACTTTGATGTGCCGAGTAGTCTGCAACAGAAAGCACACATAGATTCAGATGCTGGGGTGCCAGGAAATGAAAAAGAAGCCACTACAAGGGAGAACAATGTGGCAAAGATCAAAGTAGTGGTATGTCTATTGGGTTAAACCTCCTTTCTCATTTCTCTGTGGAGCTATTGGGGCTTATGTTCTTATTTGGTGAATGCTCATTTCATTACTTCATGTTTTCCTTGTTGTGTTTACATGATTCTATTCCTAATAAGTTGATAATAATTCTTGTAGGTGCGCAAAAGACCATTAAACAAAAAGGAAGTTTCTCGCAAAGAAGAGGATATTGTTACTGTATCGTCAGACAGTAGCTGCCTCACTGTGCATGAACCCAAACTCAAGGTTTGGTTTCTATATGAAACTCGCAATAGATTACTTGTGCCATTTTCCGTTGAGGGTTTTCCTACTGAAGGAGCAAGCTGCACATTGTAACTAACTTCTATGTAATGTGGAAGGTTGACTTGACTGCTTATGTCGAAAAGCATGAGTTCTGCTTTGATGCTGTACTGGACGAGCATGTAACAAATGATGAGGTATTCATTAGCATGCGCTGTGGAAGTATTTTTTGCCTTGTGCTTTTAGCCCGTGTTTGTTTGGAGGGAAGGGGAAGAAAGTAGAGTGGTGTGTGTATGATTGGGGAAGTTAGGGGGGAGTGCAGAAAATTTGAGCAGCTATAAATATCTCTTTGTCACTTCCCCAATTTGGGGCATTTGAAGGAATTGCACGTCTCCCTAATCTCTTTGTCACCTCTTTTGTATTGAATTTGTTTTACATTATTACTGGCTTACTGCTATAAGTATAGATATGTCTGCATATTTTTAATTACCACAAGTTACATGAAACATAACTTTTATGTATACTTTTCTGAAATAATTGTTTGTCCTCACTCATCGGTTGGACCAAACAAAGGGTTAAAGATAGTAGCACATCCAATAGCAGTCTCCCTGTGCTTTGTGTGGATTAATGTGCTTTCCTTCTTGGTTCTTTTGCTTTCAATAGTTTTCAATTTCTTCTTTATGCATTGCATTGCAGGTGTATCGTGTTACTGTGGAACCTATTATTCCAATCATTTTTCAGCGCACAAAAGCAACATGCTTTGCTTATGGTCAAACAGGTGTGTTGAGTTCCTATTGACCACTGCTCACTGGAAACAAACTATAGATTCTTAACTTGTTTATTCAAAGTCATTTATAACTCCTACGCAGGAAGTGGTAAGACATTTACGATGCAACCTTTACCTCTTAGAGCTGCTGAAGACCTTGTTAGATTGTTGCACCAGCCAATTTATCGCAATCAGAGATTCAAGCTGTGGCTTAGTTATTTCGAAATATATGGTGGAAAACTCTTTGATCTTCTCAGTGATCGGAAGTTAGTTTCTTTATTCTTTTTGGTTTTGTTTTCCCCTTTAATCTTCCCTTTCCATGGTCCTGGCATATATTCTGTATGAATTGTGAGTATTCAGTATGTTAAGTTTTAATTAGCTGTTACCACTTCTTCTGGTCACGAGATTAATGGTGTTAGTTTTATTAGATTCATGCTTGTATACTTCTGCACAAGTTGCTTCTTGTAGGGTCTTAATAAATCTTTGGTTGGGAGCGTGGTATAATGAAAAACTTGTTGATGCACATATAGTTGCTGACATGAATGAAAATAGAAACATTAATGATTCAAGTTGGAATAGATAGATTGCAAGTCCAAAATTAGTTGGGGGATATCCAGATTGAGGATTTATTTTTATTTTAGTAATTTATCTTTATTTCTTTTTCTTAGACTAGATACTATACAGTATGTTTAGTTATCTGTTTTTCTATATAATTTTTTATCTTCACATTCTTTCCAACCATCTAAATATAATAGCACATTAATAAAATAATATCACTCCTCCCCTTCCTTCTCCTTTTAATTTCCCTCAACCAAACAATGGTTAACCAACAACTTCAATTATATGTAGGAAACTATGTATGAGAGAGGATGGGCGGCAACAGGTTTGTATTGTTGGACTGCAAGAGTTTGAAGTTTCTGATGTGCAGATAGTGAAAGAGTATATTGAAAGGGGGAATGGAGCAAGAAGTACGGGGTCCACCGGTGCTAATGAGGAATCATCAAGATCGCATGCGATACTACAGCTTGCTGTAAAGAAACACAATGAGGTAAAAGAATCTCGTCGAAATAATGACGGAAATGAATCGAAGGGAGGAAAGGTGGTTGGGAAACTTTCTTTCATCGACCTTGCTGGCAGTGAAAGAGGTGCTGATACAACTGATAATGACCGACAAACAAGGTGATAATTTTGAACTAAATGTATTTATGTATATGAAATCGACATGGCTCAACTTTCCATTGACATTTTAATGCCCATGATGGAAAATGATCCACATGCACAGTTTATCGTCTGTGTGCAAATTATTTTTCTGCTTCTTAGCCACGTTGAGAGGCTCATTTGATTGCAAGAAATTAACTTGTGGAGGAAAATGCTCTCCGTGGAAATGTTTTTCAGTGATAAAAACACTGTACAAACTTTCCAAGAAAGTTTGTCAAATTCAGACGACAACAACATTACCCCCGTGCCGCAAATGCTCCCACCTACGGTAGGGTTAGGGGGTAGATATATGCAGCCTTACCCCTGTACTAAAGCACATAGAGACTGTTTCCGGTTTCCACACATTTTTTATTGCATCACCATATTCCAAGATTGGCACACCATCCTTCACATCTTTTACCCCTGTACTAAAGCACATAGAGACTGTTTCCGGTCTCCACGCATTTTTTATTGCATCACCATATTCCAAGATTGGCACACCATCCTTCACATCTTTTATCTCACCTCCAGAAGGTAATTTTTGGTACATTTCAGGATTGAAGGAGCAGAGATTAATAAGAGTTTGTTGGCTCTCAAAGAGTGTATACGTGCTCTGGACAATGACCAGATTCATATTCCATTTCGAGGGAGCAAACTAACTGAGGTTCTTCGTGACTCCTTTGTTGGCAATTCAAGGACAGTTATGATCTCCTGCATCTCTCCAAATGCTGGGTCTTGTGAACACACACTCAATACATTACGATATGCCGATAGGTGTGTCTGTGTGTGTATCTTCTTTTAGGATGGGTTTGATACTTCATTACATCATATGGAAAATCGCACTTTTAGTCCCCCAATTGTTTGATATGCACATGCTACATGTGAGCCGTGTTCCATCAGTGTAATGCTTTTAAATTTTGGAATGGTACCTCATATGTAAAATATATAAGTGATTTGTTTTGAAACTAAATATAACTTACTTATTTGGAGCATTCGTTTTGTAAAAGTTGCGTTAAATCCTGTGAAAGTTAGCTCATTTTTGTGTTATGTCTCTGCATTTGTGATAAAAAAGGGTATAAAATACAGCTGTTTTGCTGACGGAGGGAGTAGCTGAGTAATTAAACCACATAACATGATGTTAAACATTTGGGGGACAAACAGTGACGCCCCCCCCCCCAGTGCGCTCATCTAACTGTTTTTGTAACACAGGGTTAAAAGTCTCTCGAAAGGTGGAAACACAAAAAAGGATCAAGGAACTGGCACATTATTACCTCTGAATAAGGAAACTTTTTCAGCGGCATCTTTTCCCACTACTACTGATGAAGAAGATATCTTTGAGCAGCTTCAGGAATCTAAGATACCCAGTATAGGCAGAAGGGTTGTGGAGAAAGAAAGTTCATTTTATAATGGAAGTGATAAACAACCTTCCAGTTTCCCTTTTGGTGCTAACGGGGGTGATAGGCTTGAAGGAAAGAATGTTTACCCTGGCCCATCACCTAGTGGTGCAGAAGAAAAGGTGCAAAGGGTGTCTCCGCCCAGGAGGAAAGCTAATAGGGATGAAAAAAGTGAAATACCTGATAAACCGGGGATCTCATCAAGAAAAGATGTTTCCAACTCTGATTTTCCCAGTAAAGGTTATAAAAGTATTAGCTCGAAACAGGATTCGCCTCCATGTGATGATAATATCAATGAAATATTAGAGGTTAGTAATAGTGGAGTTGCTGTCTTATTTGCTCTTCTCTTGAAAGTACCTATGCACCTAGGTTGATGTGGAATCATTTTCGTGAAATGGCTTCAAATACTACCAACTGTTAGCAGTCAACCAATAATAATACTTCTTATATGAATAATTATTTCATATCCCAACTATTCAAATATTTAACAAAAATGATAGTCACTTCCCAACCTCAAACTGGTTACTCAAGTACTTGAGAACTTGTACCAAACCATCAAATAAAGCTCATTGGATTGTTTCGTAACATGCTTTGATATCTTAGATGACAGGATTTGATGTTGAAAATAGCTCTGTTTCATTTTATTATACATTTGAATAATTGGTGTCTGAAATAGTTATTTCTATATTATGTATTATTAGTGGGTTGATCGGTGATAGAGTAGGTACCATTTATAGTTATTTCCCTAAATTAATTAACTTTGACTTTCTATTTATTTTATCATGAAAAAGGAAGAGGAGGCTTTGATTGCTGCACATAGAAGAGAAATTGAAGATACCATGGAGATTGTCCGTGAAGTGAGTTAGCTTCTGAAAGCCCTTTTATACTTCTAAGAATCATCATTCATTATATCGTGATCAGCACCTCAATTCCAACTGTGTTGGGTCTTGAGGCCCACCATACCATGTGTTAGATACCTGATGTTAAATTATTATTAATTATTTACTTCTACATGTTACCTATGTTACCTACTCATTAATTTGAGGATAAATTGATTGTGTCACATTGGGTCTACCCTTGAGCATCATAATTCTAATTAGTTGTGTAAAAGTAGTTAACAGTCATGTTTAAAAGTATAGTGGCAAGGATTTATGCCAGCACGCTTCATGTCCCTAAAGGACATGGATTCTATGTCTCTAAAAATCTTGCACACTTGTAGGGTGATCTCATCTTTTGGTTAGAATTAAATTCAGGCCCGTTTAGTAGCCGTGTTAAAAATATGCATCTTCCCTTCAGCAAAATAAGCGAACAGACTTGATCTGAAATTGGTTTTACCTTTTCATCTTTGAAAAGCACCAGCCAAATAACTCCTTCCAAATGAGTCCTTAGTAATGGACACTCGCTCCAGTGCAGTGGAGAGAGAATCCCAATGCATCCCAAAACCTTCACTTTGAGACTTTTAGAACATCCAAGCCATAGTCCCAAACACATTAGAGGTCGGGTAACATGAATCGATATATGAAAACATCTTCGAGGCTTTTGTTTAGAAAAACTTATGAGATATATTTATTAGTTCTAGATGCTAAGTAAGTTTTTTGGGTGATATCTTCAGGAAATGAAACTGCTGGCAGAAGTAGATCAGCCTGGGAGTCACATAGACAATTATGTATCCCAGTTGAACTTTGTGCTGTCCCGCAAAGCGGCAAGTTTGGTCAGCCTCCAAGCTCGTCTTGCAAGGTTCCAACACCGGCTTAAAGAGCAGGAAATTCTGAGTAGAAAGAGGCCCCCCCACTAGCTACCATTGGATTGCTCTTTTTTGTCATGTAATATTACATTTATATATATATAATGTTTGAAGGTGTATTAGATTTCTGTCTCTAGTTTATGTTTTATGTGTACACAAACAGATCATCTGGAGGTATTCCAGTGTCAATCAAAAGAAAGGGAAATGGTGCGCAGTCTTTGCGTAACACTATCTGCTTTGATGCTTTCCAGCTTTGAACTGAACAACCAACCACCAAGGACTGTTCATATGGTCTTGCAATATCATTGTACCCTTCTTAAAATCAACTTGTGATTTGATTGTTTAATTAATTAAATTTTATCATCAACAAATGATGGTGAAGGGCACCGATACAATTTCCTGACATCTGGATTAAACTGAAGGAATTCTCCAATATTCTGTCCATAAGAACCTGACATAAAATGAGTAAGACTTTGTTTGCAAACAATTAATTTTAGTGCTTTTGGCTTTTTTTTAAGAAAAAAACACATATTTTACCAAACAATATTAATTTTTACTTTCTCGGTTTTCGTGTAGAATCTACTTTTTTATTTTTTTCTATTACACAAAAAGTACTTATTTTACAAAACACTACCAACTTTTACTACTAATCACTTTTTCCCAAAAAGTGCTTTTATTTAAGCACAATCACTTGCAAATAGAGCCTAACAATGTGTTGAAAACATTGATCAAATGTTTTCAGCACACATGTTGCAGGTGGACATGGTCCTGGATCTGGGATCAATAGGGTAAAGAATATGTTGAAAACTATAAAATTATTCCTGCTGCGTGTTATTTATTTCTCTATTTCAAACTCTGAGCTGGATTGAGTTATTTTGCTATTATCTGTTTGATCCCTATTTTTTTGCCAGTCACTCAAGTATTCAACTATCAATTAGTATTACAATTTAGTCCATCGACTCCTCAATAGATTTCACGATTTGATTTCTAATTTTTTCAAAAACCCTTTTTGGGAAACTGTGTCACTTGCCCCTTGTACACATTTGTTGTGGGACTTTTACCTGAACAAATATGGCTGGACTCGGGCCGGTTCGGGCCCGGTTCGGGCCTGGGCCCGGCCGGGCCTCGGGCCAGAAAACTAGGGCCCGGGCCCGAACCGCCGGTGGGCGGTTCCGGTTCCGGTTCCGGGCCAAACCGGGCCGGGCCGGGCCGGGCCGAACCGGCCCACTTAATTTTTTTTTTTTTTTTGGTCTCCTATTTAATCCCCTACCCCTCCCCCTCAACCCCAAACCATCCCAAACCACCTCAAATGGCCCAAAATACCTAATCCAACCTAAAACTTAAAAAAATTTCAAAAAAAAAAAAAAAAAAATTAAAATCCGGCCCGGACCGGGCCCGAACCGGCCGGGCCGGTTCACCAAAACCTGGGCCCGGGCCCGAACCGCCCAGCAGCCGGGCCGGGCCGAACCGAACCGGTGGACCCACCGGGCCCCGGGCCGGGCCGGGCCTAACAGTAACCGGGCCGGGCCGGTTCCGGGCCGGGCCGCCCGGCCCGAGTCCAGCACTATGAACAAATATCTTCTCCAAAAATAGACAATTTCTTCTGCTTCTCACTTGCTCGCAGCTACAAGTCTACAACTAGCTTTTTCACCTCCAAAACCCATAATCACACTTCTCAACAATGACAACCTTAGACTAGTAGTAGTACTTAGTAGCATACAGTACACTTGAGTCTGCCAAATAATCCTTTTCTAATATATCTAGTCATGAAGCAGTGAGTTTTACAAGAAACCACAAACCCTCACCAAGCTATAACGCAGCAATAAGCATTAAGCAAACCACCCACCAGCAGTCCAGCAGTGGTCACTTAAGTTCATAAATATAGAAAGATCATATAGGTGGTCATATTAATAGAAACACATTATTTCAATTACATGACTCATATCTTAGTAATTTACTCATGTGTCAACAAGCCAACCCTAGAGATTCTAGAAGTCCTGAACAATGGAAAAGCTACTGATTTTTCCCCTACAGACAAACGACACATCTCATTCAATCAAAACTGGCATTTTGTTATCTGTCCCCTAGAAATAAACACAAAGGAGCATATTTCAGGTTTGATCAATCCGCTTTTAGCCTCAGAATTTCCCTTGCAGTTCTCACCCGAAAATACGGCATGTGTTCCTGTATGAGAAATGAAGCACATAGTTCAGATATACGGCTTATAAATATACTTGCTCCATCCCATAAAGATAGGCTTATAATTGTTTTCATACAGAGTAAACAATGACAGGTTAATGCAATAGAACTATTAAACTTTATCTTCATTTTCCATATATCCACTGATAAATACTACCTCCATCCCATTTTATGTGTCTCATTTGGTTTTGGCACAACTTTTAATCAAGTGGTTGAAAAGGTAAAAATTGTGGTTGAGATTTGAGTATGATAAAGTGAAGTTTTGAAATACATATTTCTTTCCAAAAAGGGAAATGTGACACTTATTTTGGGACAACCCAAATAGGAATGTAAGACATGTAAAATGGGATGGAGGGAGTACTAAATACTTAATTATATATATTCCGTCCATTTCATATCATTTCATTTACCCCAGTGCCGCAAAGGCTCCCACCTACGGTGGGGTAAGGGGGGGTCGGATGTACGCAGTCTTACCCCTGTACTAAAGCATAGAGAGACTGTTTCCGGATGACCCATAGTGAAAATCGCGTCCAAAATTGCATGGATTGACTGCTGCTTCATAACAAAGAAGCGCAGACAGTTTAGTGAGCCATTTTGCTTTATTCCATCATATTCTCTAGCCAAAAAATAATGAATCTTTGGCTCCATTGCAAATGATGGAAAATTGTATTCTAACACTTTTTGTCCAAACAAGGTCTGTTTGGTCAAATGAAGCTAATTTTATAGGTAAATTTCCAAAACAAAATACAACATAAGTTAACCAGATAAGTTTTATAAATATAACTATACAAGTATGGTTACTTATTTATAGTTGATGTATCAAAATTTTAAAATCTGTAACATGGTTACACATGATTCTTTGTTAAGGTCTTGAAGAGGTAGTATGACTTTGGAAGTAAATGTGGAGTGATTCCAAGATAAGTTAGTAAGTGGCATATATGGAAATGAAGAATTAGTTATAAGCTCATTATGATAATTGGTCTATGTTTGTAGGACAAACCCAAAAAAATGATACGTAGTCGATCTTTGTAGGAGAGACAAAAATATAATTTAGTAGACTGATCACTGACTATCTTTGTGAGACTAATAGAATACCGTCTTTCCATTGATAATGTTTACAATCATACAATGATACAGGAACTTTTTAAATTATTGCAACGCGGCAAAATAGCCCAAGGAACTCAAACACTGCTCTTATTGTCTAATTAGTGAACATCTAAAACTAAAATGTACATCTGTATGTAACTGAGAAGCACAATTATATAGCTCTTTCATTCCACATGCAGAGTACTCAGAAATCCATTTTCTAGATGGATTGTTGCAACTATTTAGAATGTAATAAAATATGAAATGATTTTTAGGCAGGCAATTAGAATAAAGACAATCTCCTGATTCTCCTCCCCTGGCCAAGAATAGAAGGGTGGGAGGACTGATACCCATGTATAGTACTCAGTGCCTATAAAACCAATGCTTAGCATGACTTACCTGATTAAAACACAATCCTATATTTCTGCTATAGAAATCTGCATACTTAATCATGAACATGCCACAGTCAAACCTGATAAGAAATTAAAAATAACCCATGTGTTGATCACTTGATCAGATTAAGCAAGTACATATAAAAAGACAAGAGTAGTGGAGACTTGTACAACAAGCACAACTTTATAGATAGAGCAACTGAAAACTTATACAAGGCAAAGTAAATATGGGTAAAACTAATGTCGAAAAGAATAAAAGACATACAGTTACTCTGAAAAAGTTGAGGAAAACAAGAAAATATGAAATAAATAAACAACAAACAGGAATTTTTTCTGAAACAGTGTGATGTAGGAATGTAGCAAATTAGTAATATGGTTGAGAGGAAATTATTTGACTAACTAATTTACTAAGGGAATCAGCTTGGTAGAAAACACCAAAAATTACTCCCTCCGTCCCAAAAAAACTCCCCACATTGACTTTGCACGCATATTAAGGAAGTGGGAACAAAGTGAAAATGTATGGTTGTAGTTGTGTAAGAAAAAGGTAAATGAATGTGAGTCACACAAAATATCCAAAAATGGGAAGTGGGAAGAATTTTTTGGGACATCCCAAAATGGAAAGTTGGAATAATTTTATGCAATGGAGGGAGTAACTTCTAAACATACACACCCATATGAAAGGGACTATTTAACCAAGTAATCTAAGCACACACACCCATTTTGTTGCTCAGGAAGGTCTTCAACTAATTCTCTATCCCATGAATTAACATCAATATCCTCACCACTTTTATCCTTCACTTCATCTACATAGTATCTAGCCTGCAGAAGAATGCACAAATATTATATATCCTTAAGGAATGGAATCAAGTTTTAGGAAAGAAATCCAAACCCTTGATTCTACACCATACAGTCTTCCGACTTTTTGTGGCAAGGAACTGGCAGATATGGGGGGGAGGGTGAAATCCTACTTACCAACGCTTTCAGAACATTACTATCACTTCCTCTGAGCGAATCCAGATACTGGAATTTTTTATCTTTCCTGTTGATGACAGCTAAACACCAATGTATTTCTTTGTGGACGGGGACAAAAATCTGAACATTAAGTACAACGGTGAGCTCACACTATAGGCCTTCAAATAATATAAGGAATAGCTGAAAAAGATGATTTAAAATAAATTTTACTTTGTCACATTCAAATATGCAGTATCCCAATTTCCTCTTTGAAGTCCATCTTCGCACAGATTGATAATTGTAGCCAGTCTTCCCACTTATTAACTGAGTACAAAGGAATATCAAACTAAGATGGAACATCAAATAAAACCATCTCTTTATATAAAAATATATAATTGAATATAATAATAAATAAAGCTCATCAAAGAAGAACATAATTGACAAGATGCATGATGCATCTCAGAGCAGATAACACTGGAAACACTCCCTCCATATAAATTCTAAACAGTGTTGGCTTTTCATAAAACAAAACTATTTTTTCATATGAAAACATGCATACTTGGATTTATTTCATTGTCAAACCAGACCAAGCTTAAACAAACAAAACCAACATTTAATAATAATAAATACACATAATATCAAACCAAAAGAGCAGGTCCCTAGTAGCCAAAAAGGGATACATGCCAGCTAAATATGATAAAGTTTGCAGAGCAACAAATAAATTTTAAAAATATAAGTTGGATTTCATTATTT